ATAAATGTTGTAGTCTAAAGTAACTATTACTAAAGTAGTTGCAGCTTCAAAAAATAAAATATAAAACACCGCCCAAAGCAAAAAGGTTGTAGGCATTAATGAGCATTTAAAGTCCTTTTCTATGCACAATAAAAGATTCATTATTAATGAGCTCAAAAACATTATATAAATGTATAAAACATCATCCATCATTCGAGGTATTTTTTTTGGGACATTTAGGCCATTTAAGGCAAACTCACACACACAACGCATACACATGGACTCGAACCTTGGACCTCTTAGTTGGAAGCCTAAGCTTTCAACCAATAGGCCAAGGAGAGTTGTGTTCGAGGTATTTTCTCTGTCGGAAAAAAACAACCATAGGTCTTCCACTGATGTGATCGTGACCACACTCCAGGAGAAAAAAATAATCTTCGTATTCTTCTTCACTGATCCGGCTTTGAGCATCAGGCGGCAGACTAGCTCTTTTACGGCGAGCTAGTGAGCTAGCTCGCGAGCTGCTCTTTATTGTACAAGCTGAGCTTGAGCATGCACTTCGAGCTCAACTCGAACTTGAGCTCGATATTTGGCTGGCGAGCCGTGCTCGAGCTCGGCATGGCTCGAGCTCAGCTCGACTCATTTGCACCTCTAAGCATTTTATTGAAAATTGAAATATCTCTCTATCTTAATTAATGCTTGAGAGATATCTTGTCTTGAAATTAATGCTTGAGAGATATCTTGTCTTGTTGCAAACACGATTGAAATTTCTTCTAAAACAAGGGATAAGCTTGAGGATTGCACTAAAAACAATAGGTGAATGACTATAAAAGTAATCAAATTATCAGAATTATCTATAATTAAGGAATTCTCCTATTTCAAAATATAAAAATATAAGGAGAATTAATACCTATTCATATATTTCAAGGGATGATTAAGTCTTTATACAAAATAATCCTAAAACATTTATCATTGTTATAAACATAAAATGCAATATATTTTGCCATCAATTGATCAAAAGTAAGGTGAAGATTATGTCCTTGCGTGGTCCTCCCCATCAATCAGAATGATGATCATTAATAGTGGTATGATGACGATTGTCAATAATTTGTTTATAAAACCTATGATATCTCCTTAAATATGAATTATCTTACAATGATTAAAATGATTTCTAGCTATTAGTAATGTATACACATTTCATATTTTTTAGTAATTAATACGTGAAATGATTAGCCCTTAAATAAATATGGTGTACAAATATACAACAGGAAAGTTACAAATTTACGACCGATAATTTTTTTATCGAAATGACAACAAAAATTTCGACGATATTTTTGCTGCGGAATTTTCACTGCAAATCCATCGCAAGCTGAGTTATAATATAAATAGATAAATAAAAAAGTTTTTTGTTTTATTTTGTCTCCACGACCGAGTGACAAAGAGGGTTGGTTTGCAAAGGAGCATGTTTGAATATCATGCAGGTCATGTGGCGCGGGCAATACTCTCCGGCAACTAGTCAAGTATGGGCAGCGATCAGGCAGGAGCGGGCGGTCAGGCTCAGCCGCTCGGGCAGTCGGGATGTTAGGTAGGAACAGGCAGTCGGTCAAGCTCGAGTAATTTTAACTGGTTGATTGTATAATTTTACTTCATTGTATTTTGTATGATTTATAAAGAATGAAAATTTTTGTATTTTAATATAAGCATGTTACAAATATATGCATTTGTGAATGAATATGTGTATGTGATTAGATAACATTTGGTCGCTATTAATATTTGTATACTATTATAATAATGATGTGTGAATACAAGCTAAGGCCGATGATTTACTGACATTGGTTGGTTACTAACTTACTTGTATAGGATGGTCGACCGACAAACTTTTCTTTAAATACTATGATTTGCTGGTATTATTTACTGGTTCACGAGATTTACTAATTGAGAGTTATAATAAGTTATTACCGTGTTGACGGTTAAAGAGTGACGACTTTATTTATTTAGCTAAGGATTATTAACCTATTAACTACTAGAAAAATATCATGCAAGCTAGATTTCATGATTACTAGAATGCACGTTATTACACTGATTTATTATTGCTATATTGTTGTCACTTTACTATTATATTGTTCTACTAATTAATATTGTTGTACTATTTTACTATTACTTTCACCAGTTTTATGGATACTGATACTGTTACTAATACCACAACTATTTCACTATTATTATTACTATTATTGATTCACTGTTTAATGATTTACTATTATTGAGCACGTGATTCTTTTACTAAGCATATGATACAAGATATTGATTTATACTGATATAAAATAGTTGAATATCATGTATATTATCTTGTATAATTAATTGTGCCGCATTGTTTTGGATTCCAACAGTTGATAGATATTTTAGTTTCACTAATTTATATGATTTTCTTATTGGTTTGATAATACTGCTATGACGACTGCTTTATCAATTCGACATTTGTATTGATTTATAGGTTTACTAGTTTATAGATTTCACTATTTTTGTATTATACTATATTATTAATCATCATACTATATTGGTTGTCGTAGTGTAGCAGCCTCCATACTTGCTTATTTTTTATAAGCCTTCATTTATTATGAACTGATAGTTATTGTATGTATTTTATTATTTCTGCATATATTCATGATTATATTGATTACTACTATATAAACTGATAGACGACATGCACACTATTTCTTTATGATGCTTTGAGTTCAATTGTTGAAATTTTTAACATACTGGGCTTTTTAACTCATTATATATAGTTTAAATGATTTTAGGTCAGGAAAAAGAATTGGGAGTATGAGATTGATTAGTTACAGGATTTTCCTAAATTTTTTGTTGTTTGTTTTTTTTCCTTTAGATATTCTTTTGTAATCATTAGTAGAAAGATGGGTGTTGTATTTCATGTGTATTGTATATAATTTTTTGAGTATGAATAAAAATCTCTATTAATATTTCTATCAATAGATTCATTTCAGTTAATATTTATACAATTGATAAATAAAATTAGATACTTTTATTATTGTTATTATTAAAAGATAAAACGAATAATTTTTTTAAATTAGATTATGGAGTGTGACACATGATGTTTTTGGTAATTAGAAAGATCAATGCATAATGATTGTTATAAAATTCAAAATTATAATTTCAGTACTAATTATGCTATACAATTATAATCAATTGTATGATTAGTTATATCCAAGCTGCATTGTATGCTCCTTTTCTTAATTATGTGCATTTAAAATTTGACAAATTGTGTTGTAATTTCACGAGCGAATTAAAATTCAAATCTTAAAAATATTATATTGTACGATGCATGTTGTATAATTCTGTTAAATAAAGATATATTTTCTTTAAAAATAGCCAAATGTACTAATCGTCGTGTACGATTCTTAGTTTGAATTTTATAAAATTTTTAATAATCACTTAATTAAGATTTCTAATCAAATCACCTTATAAATATAATTATCTAAAAATTTTAAAATGAGATTTTTGATAGTTGAGGCTATTGAAAAAAGGGAGCTTAGGGGAGCTAGGTTTCTTCTTGCTACTTCACTTTCTTTTGAGATTTTCTTACAATAAAAAGTGGAGGCTCTTGTCTGAGACTTTGTATGACACACACACACAATAAACTTAAAATATTGGTTAGCTCATCTCATCATAGCTAGTGCATTATCTTCAAACAAAATTCTACGAAGTTTTTTAAAGGCATACAAATTCACCCTACCCACCCACAGACCCACCTTCTCTTGTGTGTGCCACATGCAACATGCATATAAAAATTGAAAGTGACTATTATTAAATGCTATAAAAACTAATATTGCTATAATATCTTAGGGGTGAATGATAAAATTTTATTTTTATTCAACTGTGATTGGATTGATGATATTCCCAATAACTGTAAAAGAGTGCATAAAATGCATGAAACTATCAAAATAAAAGGAACTAAGAAATACAAATTGTTTTATCATTTCATTCTAGCACAGTACTATGCAAGTCACGTGCATTGTACAAAGCACCATGGTAGAATAATAGCTAAATTGGATAAGCAAAATAATAGAGCTTACTCATAAGGAAGAACAAATATTAAAACTTAGAGAGCCTATTAGTGATATCGAGTCAATTATAAACTTGTAATGCATTAATATTTAATGCAAAGAATTTGATAATTTTATAGAAGGTAAGTATTGATAATGAGTGACACATCACTCTAAAAAAATCTTAACATGAAGAGGGCTTGGTCTTTTGACTTGAGATCCAGGAAAGCTCAAAAGGTTTGAATAGTTTTAGGGCTCCACTCGAGCACCACTGTCATACCATCATTCATTCATCATTATCAGGCCACCACCATCAGACTATTGCCTGATTGCCACCGTTCGACCCACATTAGATCACTTCTGATCAATGTCATTGGACCACGTTCTTCTAACTACTACCACACAATGATAATCCCTTGAACACTAGCATCCCATTACATTTTCCCAATTACCATTGCATGATAATGATTCTCGACCACTATTACCGAACTATAATCATTTAATCACTATCGTTAGAACAATGTCTCTTTCGACTATTCTTTTTTTGTGTATCTATCTTCCTAAAATTTTAAATCTTAAATTCTTTTTATCATCATAAATATTCTAACACACAATAACTCATTTGAAATTTAATTAATTTAATATTTAAGTTATAAAAATGTTCAACTTAAATTAATTTTTAATTTTAACAAACTTAAATAAATATCAATATTGCCAAACTCAAAGTATTCACCAAGCATTTTCACCAAATTTTGTTTCATTTATCCTATCAAAACAAATTTGTAGATTATCGCAGTTTTTTAATGGATAAGGCATGACGTGGCTAGCTAACGCGTTTACAGGCTGTCACGATCTCAATGGCTGGCAGTCTAGTCACCTCACATCGTTAAAGAAACATTGGGGTAGTATAGTCATTTCACTGTTTAACTGCCATATCTCTCGTTATAGATACCCTCAAACGATTGTGGGAGGAGAACCCAAAAAAAAATCCCCAATTTTTTTCTCTCTCCTCTTTCTCTTTTTCCAGCTTTTCACCCGCGCTTTCTGCATTCTTCTCCTCTGATATTATACAGAGAAGAGGAAATAGGGAAATAGGGCTTCCGCTTCCGCTCGCTTGCCGAAAATGCCATGGTTTCCTTGTCAGCCTTCCTTCGAATAGGGGAATCCCAGCTTTGACTTGATAGTATTCTATTAGGGTTTTACTTTAATCCAAAATTTTCACTTGGGTCGTCGTTTAGGACAAGGGTTAGGGTTTTGTTGTTGGCTGGAGATGGGGGCCGCAGCATCAAGCGTTCTGGGACCTGAAGGTGATGGAGGAGCTCAGGAGACGGGGCTAGGAGATTTGCCGGAAAGTTGCATCGCGGAGGTGATGCTGCACCTCGACCCGCCGGGGATCTGCAAGCTGGCGAAGCTTAGCCGAACTTTTCGGGGAGCGGCGTCGGGGGATTTCGTGTGGAAGACGAAGCTGCCTAGTAACTATCACTACCTCTTGGAGAAGGCGTCGGATGACAAGGAGCTCAGAGTTCCGCTGACTAAGAAGGAAATCTTTGCACGGCTTTGCCGCCAGAACCCCTTCGACGGAGGAACAAAGGTATAGGTGAATATTGTATTGGTGCGGGACGTTTTCTTGGTGGCTTTGTCCTTTTTTCGGTATCCCACTGTTGCGGCTTTTGATGGGCAACGTTCGATTGATTGCAAAGTTTAATGCATAAATTGTTTCTTCGCAATTGATTGGAGGGATGTCATGAAATCTATCTTCCTATTATTGTTACATTGGATATGTGGGAAGGTGTTGGTTTTCCGTTGCGTTTTCTGGGGTTTGATGATGATTTCTCATTTAAAAAGTTGATTATTGTTCTATAGGATTTTGAACCCTAGTTTTTCCGGTACACTATGTATATATTATGGAAGAAATGCACGTTTTATAAAAATAAAGTTAGAAAAAAAAAGGAGGAAGAAATGGGATTGTAATTGTTTGTTTTTGCAGAGTTTGGCTGATAATAGAAGTTGTCTTTTGTTTTAGTACGGCAGGTACATTATTTTGACCTGCGGTGATTTTGGCCATGCAGGAATTCTGGCTAGAGAAGCACAGAGGTAGATTTTGCATGTCCATTTCTTCAAAGTCGTTTTTGATAACTGGAATAGATGATCGGAGATACTGGAATTATATCCCGACGGAGGAATCAAGGTATTGTTCTTCTGATGTTATCAGTGTATAAAAATTAGATCTTGTCTCTTTGGGACATTTGAGGCAATCTCTTCATTTAGGTGTAACTGTACTTGAACCTATTCTTTTGGGTTGCTAGTAAAAACTGTTGTTTGCTCGTCTGGTTTTTTCAGGTTTTGAGTGCCATGCCCATGCTAATGCTTTACGGGTTTTGGGCACAGTTTTTTATGGCTCCTTTTGGTCTGTTATTTTACTTTTCGGAAATCCATAAAGTGGACTAGTTTGCCAAAAAAAAAATTACATTGTGATGCAAAAATGAAGGGTTACTAGGTTTTTGACTATGCATGTCCTTTGCTGACAGAAGCTCTTTGATGGTTGGATCATCTATTGCCTTCTGTCTTCCCAGTTAGAAAGGATTTAAGGGTTCTTCAGGACCATATTTGTGTATTAACGAGCCGTATAGTCTAATTTCAGTCTCGCTCTTTTCCAGTGTTGGCTAGGAAATTCATGTGTTAAATTAGAAGCTTTACACCATAGCACTATATGCATAATGTGTGACGTTGAAGATAAAAGGAGAGAGCAGATTTCTTCAGCATATTTTATTTATTGAATTATTCCCAAATGTTTGTGGTTCATCGAACTATTCCGAATAATTTGGTGAAGAGAAAATATGTTCCATCTCACGCTGATTGCTACATTTGTTTTCTGTCATAAATGCGCTGTTATAATTATGAAATTAAGATAACAATTCATTCAAGTTAATATGTGATTGTGAAGCTAGCTAGCTTCTGATTAAGTGATTATGATTAAACGGTTTGGTTTAACTGTGGATTGGTTACAGTGATTCATACAAGAGAATACTATCAATTGAACTTCTGCAATAATCTGAGAGTCTTTGTATTGTTGTATATGTCAGGGATAGAGCTAATTGGTTCGTTTTGTTAAGCAGTGCTATTTTCCCCTTCAATTATGAGACTATTGATGCTCCTGAAGTTGTATGATTTAATTTCTAAGCTAATTAATACCTTAGCTTGATGATGTTTTGCATAACTTTTTTTTCCTCTAGGAATAGCTGAATAGCTTGTATGGGATAATATGCTATGATATGAATTATTATAATTGAACAACAGGAGTCCAGATTGGCTACTATTCTTGGATTGCTACTGATTTGACTATTTTATGTCATCGTACTAACAAATGTTTAATTAAATCCATTTTGATAGTACTGCCACGCAATTCCATTGGTTTTTTCCCATAAGATTTCTTATCTTTTAGCACTCACTGATGTTTTATATGCTTTGGTTAAGATCATAGATTGAACTCTTTTAACTTATTTAATTGAATGCATCAGTCATTTCAAGATGTCAATAATTAACTCGAATGTATTGTACGCCTAGGGTAATAAAAATAACAAATATTGAGTGTTTTGTATTGAATTTTGAGGAGGAAAGTACATATAAAATATTACAGTTGGTTTCAGATCATTTTCTGTGATTTGTAAATTGGAATTATTAGGATTTGTCAACATAGAGGCCATTCACGTCATAATCTTCATTATGTGGTTCTTGTTACCTCAAACGTTTCAGTTATGATTTTTAATAGTGTATTTTCATTGACAGCTTCTCTTTTCATTACCACTTCAATGAATATTTTATTGAGTGAAAGTTTAGAAGTGCACCTTGTGCATTAATGCATGATATCAACAACCATTGAAACTAGTTTGTTTCAATAGAAATATTTAGAACCCGTTGGTTCTCAGCTTCGAAAATAATTTCAAATATTTATTAGAAAATTCATGAAAATGGGTTTTAATTTTACTTATAATAACAGTAAATATTAATTTGAAGATGGGTGAAATGGAACTCACTCCTCACTACAATACCAACATTCATAGCAACGCATCAACAAACATAATTGAAACTCTCGTAGGTAAAATCATTTTTGAACAAATTCAAACAAATTTCAAACACCTTTGTCAAAATAATCAATTATTCTAGGATTTGTCTTCAACTCCACCTCGAAGTTTGCGATGTTGGTGCATAAAATAGTATAATTACAATAAAAACTGGTTTTGTTGTTTGCCAATGCACTCAAGATAAGGACAAAATGTAAATTGTTTAGTTTGGCCAGAAAAATACTGTAATCACCATAAAAAATGGCTTTGTTGTTTCCTGGTACACTCAAGGTAAGGACAAAAGATAAATTGTCTGCTTTGGCAAAGAGTTTGTCTGAAATCTCCATCCAGTTAGGCATTTGTCTTACCCCATTCTTCTAGCCTGAAGGAAATGCCTTCCAGCTTTTAGTGTAAGGAGCATTTGTTTATTTTATATTATATGGTTTGCAACTAGGACTTAAAAGAGAGTGCAAGTCTTGATCTCTTGTTATGTTCGTCTACTCTGTTATATATTAGTTTAGCTATTCTAATTACAAATGCAGATCAAATATAATGTAAATCTGAGTTCTTCTGTCACTTTCTTTTGCAGATTCCTCTCAGTTGCCTATCTTCAGCAGATATGGTGGTTTGAAGTGGTTGGGGAAATCCAGTTCTGTTTCCCTCCTGGCACATACAGCCTATATTTTCGCCTTTATTTGGGACGTCCTTCGAGGCGATTGGGTCGTCGAATATGCAACACAGAGCACATCCATGGTTGGGACATCAAGCCCGTTCGTTTCCAGCTCTGGACATCGGACGGCCAGCATACTTTGTGCCAGTGTACTATAGATGATCCTGGTTATTGGATTCGTTACCATGTTGGCGATTTTGAAGTAATGAGCTCTGATGTACCCAACAAAGTCAAGTTCTCCATGGAACAAATAGATTGCACCCACACAAAAGGTGGTCTTTGTGTGGATTCCGTATTAATATACCCCAAGCAGCTTAGACAGCAAGAGAAGTTCTCTCCTCTCGGCGTGTAAATTTCATTTGGATTAGAAAAGACTGCAATTTTCTTTTAAATTTTCTTCAGTTTTGTTGCCAGCGATGATGGAATGCCAGAAATCTGTACATACAATTTTTGTCCTGTCAATTTTGGGTGAGGCTGGTATTACAATGTTGTATTGTAGGCTCTGTGAATTAATTCCAGGAGCTCATATAGCTTGCAAATGTGCGTGATTGTATTTTTTTGCTGATTATTGAAGTTTAAATTAGTTTGGCTTTTCACCAAATGATGCGAGTTTCATATAATAGATAAAACTCCGGGTGTCATGTCCGACTCGAATCCGGTCCGAAAATTTTGGGTTAGACCCAACCTGATTTTAAAATGGGTTGGCTTCGGTTTGACATGGAAACCCGATTGGTCAACCCGGAAACCCGGTGCCCGAGCCCACCTGTGTCGCGTTCGAGCTGCCCGTGCCTACCCATCCCCGCATGCGTCGTGTCCGAGATGCCCGTGCCCGTATGCGTTTCGTCCGAGCTGCTTGCGCCCATGCTCGATGCTGCCTGAGTTGTCTCGTGATCCCTGCCGTCGTTTTTCAGCCATCAACCGGTTGGGTCATCCCAGTAACACGATGGGTCCGGTTCGGGTCCGAATTTTTGACATGTTTACATAATCAGATCGGGTGAAGGTCGACCTGGTATGAACCTGGATCATTCTGGGTTAAACCTGAACCCGACCAAAAATCCGATTTTGACACCTTTATAAAATGTCTGATGGGAAAATGGCATTCTTTCGATAGTCATGAAATAACAAACTACTAATAAGCCTAAGGGACTTATGCAAAGCTATTCTCACTTTCATTTGCTAGTGTTGTTATTTGTGTTGGGGCAACTGCCAATTTTTTCCTTGGCTCATAACATGACTATTCTTTTTAAGTTATACTGTTATTTTACGTTTTGAAGTAATAAGACAATTTGATTATATATATATATATATATATATATATATATAAAGACAATTTGGATTAGATGTATATAGAATGGTTGCATTTTAGGAATGCGATGGATGTTTTATTTCTTTTATTTTTTTTATTTTTTGTTTCGAAGAAAATTAACCTTTCTTGTTGCCATTGGATCATCAATCAAAGGGTGTAAATGAGTCAAGTTGACTTTTTGTTTGATCAAACTAAATTTGTTTAGTTATTATTAAATTAGAGCTCGAGTTTGACTCGTGCTCATTTATTAATCTCAAGCTCAAATCGTTAAAAATTTTATAGGCTTGAAATCTGCTCGATTGCTCAAGCTTATTAGGAAAGATCAGGCTTGACTCGATTTTTGAGCTTGATTTATTAATTTTTAATTAAAATGTTCATCTTTTTTAGTTTTTTTTTATTTTTAATGTAAAATTAATTTAAAATGTTAAAATATATTTATTAAATTTGAGATAGGTCAAATGTCATCTACTTCGAACTGGACAACTTTCATAACGGGACCGGAAGAAGAAAATATAATGAAGTGGCTCAAAACCTCTTTTATCTCACTAGAATCCCTCTCTATCTCTCTCTCTAATGTGAACTGCCTATTTGGATATTTTAAATAATATAATTTGCACCGGTGTCAAGGTGTTGCCTTCAGGAACCCACGGTGCTATCGTTCTCACTGAACATTAGAGCATAGAATTAAATGGCTAAAAACTTGAGAGCACTGATGCCAAGGTGCCGCCAAACCTAGCAACACGACGCATAAGGGAAAAACTTCATATTTTTCCTCTAGGGCCTGCTTCAGAATATATGCAAACTCTTACATGTACACAAAATATTCCTAGACACATGTAGAATGATTCAAATACAAAAATGCAACAGCTTACTTTTTTTAAGATCAGCCAGAACAGATTGAACTGAACACTTCATTTGGAGGTTTTACAGGTAAGGAAGGGAAGAGAGATGAGAGAAAAATGGGCATTTGGCCACCAATTCATTTCACCGCTTCTACAAAAAATATTTTGATCATCATAGGTGACTTCTATCCTATCTCTGTTTTTAAAAATTTTGATTCTGAAATTTATTATTATATATAAATGGATATTTATTATATTTTTCTCTTAATTTAGTGAACTTTCACCACATAACTTTTGATATATTGTAGTATTGATTATTCTAGTCATTTTGACTGGATGATTTTGTATTTTTATTGATTAAAATATTATTGATTGCATTTTGTATGGTTTGAGTATAAATAAGATATATAGTGATTTGAACATTTTAATATGATTATGATGTTAATGCAAGCATTGTGAATGAGTAATAATTAGTAGTTATTACTTTTACAATATTATGTGTGAAAAATTAAAAAATGCTGTTTTATTATTAAGGTTGGCTGAAGACCGTTTTATACTTGTGCAGGATGTTGGGGGGGTTGTAAATGTGCAAATGGAGTTTCTTTTAAATAATCTGGCTTTTGGAGAATATCCTCTACTGATTCATGTGATTTACTAATTGGGGATTATAAGAATAAATTACTATATCGATAAACAAGAGTAATGACTCTGTTTATTGAAAGCCATCTGAATACTGAACTAAGAATACTTAAAAACATCACAAAAGCCATAATTCCTTTTTGAAAAAACACCACAAAGGTTAAAATTCCTTATTTAATATGACTGCTTCGACATGTATATAAGACATTGTTTTACTTTTGCTGATTCATTGTTACTAATTTACTGTTACTAAGCATGTGACTAAGATACTAATTTGAGATTGAAACATGATAATTGAATATCATGTGCACTCCTATACAATTTCCTAATAGTATTGTATCATCATATATTTCTAATAATTTTCATGGATACTTCTGTTTTACTGGTATATATGATTTTCTTACTATTTGGATAGTACTACTATGACATTGGTTTAAGAATAATGGTTTATAGCCTTACCATTTTGATTTATATACTATACTATTTTACAAGCCTTACTATCATCGCATGTGTTTTACTATTTATGAATAGATTTATAAACTAAATGATTTCATGCATACTTTTTTATTTCATTTTTTGAGTTTACTTGTAGGGTTCTAGTGATCTATCAGGCTTTATAAGCTTACTATATGTTGTTTAATGATTTTAGGTTAGTGAAGAGGTTTGAGAGTGTGAGGCTGATCAAATATATGATTATTTAGGTTTCACTATCATTTTGTCTTTTAATTATTCTTTTGAGCTAAAAAATGAGCAGACCATAAGTTGTATTTATATAACTCCTAGTTATTGTATGTACTTTTTTGGTATTGAACACTGATATATTGATGTTTTAATCCATAGACTTAGTTTCATTGGTATTTTATTATTGAAAGAAATTAGATAGCTTTATTTGTCATTACTAGAAGATAGAAAATACAATTTATTTCAAATTAGATTTTGGGGCGTGACATCCATGGCTTAAACCGTACAACCAATATAACAATCCAAGCTATATATCTTTTTGGGATACTTCAATCTTCATAATGCATACATTTATTTTGAAAAGTAAATTACCAAATTTTTATCATCCACCATATTCAATTTGTAGAGAACCACTTTCCATCCTATCTTCATAGCAACATAATTAAAAAATAAATGCCTTCATCCTCTCCATATGGGTTGTCATCACACCATCATTATTAAAGCTTTTTGGTTGGTCAATCTTCTTTTTGAGTGACATATCACTTTACTCAGGCTTCTCATATCCTTTATGACAACCTAGGATCAACCTACATTTATGCCAATCCAATCTTCCACTCTAAAATGTACCATATTCGGCTATACTATCATTTTTTTCATGAGAAAGTTGTTGATGGGTCACTAATCATCTCACACACATCTACTCATAATTAACTTGCATCCATTCTCACAAAATCACTTGCCAAGACTCAATTTCTCATTATTTGCTACAAGATTTGTGTCTTTGATGAAAGCCAATATTGTGAGGGCTATATTAACGAAACCTCTACCTATGCTACATGATCATATATTCTTATTTGTATCATTACGTTATTCTCATATAATTAATAACATAAATATGATTTATTGATATGATTGTTACTATTCTCGTGTATTACCACAGGCCTAATTGGTATTGCTATAGTTATTACCATTCTCAAGTATAACCACTTACCTAAGCATATTGTAATAAATATAATTCCCGTTTATTATCACTTGCCTAAGTGGTATATTGTATGTATATAAGCAAACTCACATGCATACAAATAAAATAGCTTTTGTTGGTATTCTTCTTCCATTAAATTTTTATTTCCTAACTTTTATATTACTATTTTTATGCTCTTATAATTTCAAACTCACACACCCCATAATATAAAAAATCTCAAACTCATGACCTTGAAGATGACGAACTTAATTACTTGACCAAAATTGTTGTGTTCTAATGGCTTGATAAAATAATTTATTTCTAATCTAGCAGACATTGAGACTAAGTAAAATGGAAGTTTGTGAATGCATCTATGACCAAGTGATTATTTCCTTAGATTATGTAGTTGCACACTTTGGGCAAAAATATGCTTGATTATTTTTTTTATTGGGGAAGCATGCTTGAAAGATCATTTCAAACCAAAATACCCCACTTTTGATCACAAACCACTTATTTGAAGTCCTCTATGACAGACATTAGTCACAATAAGGTTCAAACATTATTATTGGATAATTCACAACTTTTTTGAACCCTATTTGAACATGAATCAAATAGCATTTTACAATGATAAATACAACAAACAATATTTTAGTAGCTATAACAGTGGATTATACAACAAAGTATTATCACAACATCAATGCCATAACATATCATATGATATATACAACAAAGTAATCCAAGAACTATGACATAATAGTGAGTTATCGTAGTATGTATTGCACAATAGTTTGTAACATAGATAAAATTGAGTAATTCATGAACTCTAACACAAAAGAGAGCTATCATAGTAGGCATGACACAACAAATTATATAATGGAAAGCATTATATTAAATCTAAACTATAACACAGCACAATGAAAAACATTATATCATTAATGTTCTTACAACAAATATTGTGTTAAATCTAAACCATTATAATGTTCTTACTACAACAACAAGAGTAAAGCATAATTTTTTTTAAGACTTTGATGCTATTAATTCTAGCTTGCTTTAAAGATCATTTAGTAGCATCGCCTAATAATGGCTCAATTATTAAATTTTTTTTTCTCTTTGAAGCTTGTGCATATAAGTTTGTAATTTATTCTTAGTGATATTGCGACTAGGTATACAATATGCATTGAATTCTCTTTGAATTTCCTACCAATCTTGATTTGTTAGAAACTTTCACTTCTTATAATTTGGAATTTGTTATATAATCAAATGAGAACACGAATCCTAAATTTATGTATTTTTTTTTTTCACTCTCCTAGAGAAATTCTATTGCAGTCCAAGTCTTGTTCACCCACTATGTGTGGATGCTACCTCATTGATGTGCTAGTGATGTTTTGAAATATTATCTAAATGTTATACAAGCCACAAAATGGTGAGTTATCTCGATAAATCTTTTATTTTCCAACATCCAACTAATCCAATAATAAATCGACAACATAAAATTTTATTTGTAAGCAAGGCCTCTGCATGCAACTATAATAATAACTCATTAAGTTTCTATGTCCAATAATATTTATAACATTGAGTGAGATCAGTTTGTTAACTCATCTAGGTTTTGAGTAAGCTCTGATAGTACTAAAAATAAAAAAAATCTTATAGTCCACCTAAAACATGTCTTCATACTGGAACTTTAACTCTACTTATCTATCCATCGATTAGTTTTAACTTTCCACTTGTATATAATTTTATTCTAGAAATTCATATATTCAATACCAGCATCCATATTAGTTATCTCTAACATCTTTCATGTTCATAACTACATGAGCTTCTCTTAGTCAGCTATTATCATGGTCTTTCTATTAGGAAAAAATAAAACTTAATTTTTTCATTCTCATCTCTCCAAAATGCTCCTTATATAAGATAATTCTCCCATTACAAATGATTTTGAGGTTGTGACTTTGAGAGACACCACCCTTTTAGGGGGCTTAGATAGTCTTTCCTCTACATTGTGGTTGTCATCGATAGATACTTGCTATAAAAAAAATCAAATTAATTTAACCAAAGTGAAAACTTTGGTACTAAAAGAAGATCCAACTAAAGAATTTATGGGATTTAAAATAATAGTTGGTGGCATGACTAATGCAAAGCTATGGCTAAGTTGGTAAAATAGTTGTAAATGGCATGACATAAATGCATAAAGCTATTAAAGCAACTAAATATACATTTATAATTACTAGACAAATAATTCAAAGTATATTTTAAGAAATAAAATACAATCATAACACAAAAGCGGGTAATTCAAGAGATAACACAATTTTCATGATACAACAAGTGTAAATCAAAGAGTTGATAAAAAATGGTCCCTATGAATCCTTATGTGACAGGGGCGGATCCAGCTACTTTTTTTAGGGTGGGAAAAAAAAAATTTGTGAGGGATGGGCAAAGATGCATAGGATAATCTCCTATAAATATTAATTTTTTTTAGGGTGTGCAATGCCCACCCTAAGACCATGGTGGATCAGCCCATGTTATGTGATAAGGTATATCTACCATTAGATGTTATGGATGTGCTTCTTTATTTGATAATATAATATATTATCATTGAAAAGTCAAATTTGGAATGACATTAAAACTAATTTTCTTAAGAGATAATACTAACTATAAATTAGCACAACCTACACATAAGTAAATGTAGAAACTCTTGAAAATCATCGATATTCAAACTATTTTCATAAAGCAAGATATAATTGTGTTGATCTACTTTGGATGTAAAACTTGTTACTAAAAGGCTAAGAAGCATTGATCTTCAATTATAAATTTGTTAAATACTAATCAATACAAAATCAATAGTGGCAAGTATTTTGCCATTATTTCTAATGTCGAACACAATGAAGTTATTATACTCAAATTTTCTAATAATTTTCTTCATTATTCCCCTAGGTCTATATGTGGCACAAGTAGATTAAGGCATATATCTACAAAATGAGTAAATTCTAAAAGCAAATGAGGGTAAAACAATATAATTCATACAACTTGAATCTTGTTTGGACTTTGATCAAATTTCTATTAACTTTCACTAGGGATAACATGATGCCTAATGTCCTTCTAGGTTTAGCGTTATGAGTGTGAACAAAATTTGATTAAGATTCAAAACTTTTTCAAAATATGTCTGAAGTATGCAATGCAATATATAATATTGTCATTGAAAAAGATTTATGATTCATTTGTGATGGATTTCTTGCTGCTTCTTAAAACAGTAAAAATTAAAAATTTTCTATTAAAAAACTTTTTTAAGAAGCAGTAAAAAAGCTGCCCCAAGCGAAACTTTAATGTTTGAATGAAATTTTCAAATATAACCAAACATATAGTTATATGTGGATGTGAAAAAGAAAACTTTACTTTGGTACTTTACTGTTGACCTATTAGAACGTTAAATTTTTTTATTGCATTTTTGCGTATATAATTTCTGGAAAGTCCCTTTAAATTCTCAAATAAGAATAATATTTTGATCTAGAAATAAATCTTTGAGCATATATAGCTTAAAATTTTATGCCATCATAAAGCATATCACATCAAATTTCTGAAAAAAGGAAACATAAATAGAAACGAAGAAAAACTTAAAGTCATATATATATACATCGTATTTAATTCCTAGAAAATATTAGAAAGTCGGGGTAAATTGTTCCATTGAAATTGGGAACGGAGCATCCGTCTTCGGGTCCGTTTAGCCTGTCGGTGCACACAGAGTTTCCCCATCCATTTGTTAGGTTTATCCAGTTGTCTTCCGGTGTCGTCTCCTTTGATCTCGTCTGTAACTTGGAATCTCGTTGATAGGTTTCCTAAGGTAAAAAGGCGTTTCATTACACCCTTCCTCTCATTTACCCTTCGCTTAGAGTTTTTTCATGGCAATCTGTGAGGTTTTCGGAAGAATTTATGCTTGCGTGTTTTAAAAAGGGTCGCACGGTATGGAGTTTTGCCTTGATTTCGTGGAGTGGCTGGGACCAGACACTGCCTCCAGCGTGCTCATGCTTCTGGAAGATCCCGCTGATCTTGTGCGAGCCAGCGCCGTTTCTCGTTCTTGGCGGCGGTTTGGTGAGAGCAACCCCCCTCTTTTATTTCCGCATGAATGAATCTGAATTGACTTGAATTGGTGTTCTATAGTTCTTGTTATGTTCATGGTGAAATCGACGGGTTTTTGGTGGTTATTCCACGTTAATGGGGCATCTCCTTTTTTTGCTTGAAAATGCTTCTATCCGTATGCTGTTCTAGCAATCGGATTCGAATTATTACCAATTACTGAAGAGAATGAGTTTAAGAGCTCCCATTATGGGCTGAAAATCGGTTGATGAGAAGTAGACCTTGGGAATTCACATACAGACGTATGGATGCACACTGGAGATAAAGGGAGTGATGAAAGGGAGGGAGAGTGGGATCATATACTAATTGTGACGTATGATAGGATTCATACTCCTCTATCTAATGGCTGCGGTCTGGATCGTACTAGCTTGGAGAGTGTCCACTTGTCAAGTTTCTTTTCTAAAGTGTTGGTAATGGGGTTGGGAGGTTACGCACTCAAGAAGAGCTAGGAAAGGGTGACATACCAATTTATAATGTGGATCCTATTAGTCATAGCCAATATGGTAATTTTTTTTTTTTAATTATAGAATAGTGGGCTGCTAAACAGTGAATATGGCCCAAGGTGTGCCCTAGTCCATACTTTTTCTTTCTTATCCTCTCTCTCCATCCCCCTAAATTTGATTCAGTGCCCCAAACTCGTCCTCTGCATTTTTTCCTAGTGTTGGATAAGACAACAACTCTCGTTGTTTTTTCTGTTATTGCTTTGTAGGTCAGCCACTATTACTATATTTGCAAAACATATGAGCATAGATAATGTGGTTTTGAAGCTTTCTGTTTGATCTGAAGCTTGTATGTTAATAATAAAAGAGTTTTGTTATGAGATTTCTCACTGAATGTGTATACTTTAAGGCCTTTTCCCGTTTAGTGGTTTTTTGGTTGCATACTTGCATGTGCTCACAATGCATGCGTTTGAAGAATACAGAGTAAGGTAAATATTGTTTATTATGATTGCTTAGGATCTATTTGGTTGCAAGAATTCATAATTTATGCATGTTAGAAATATAAAGTGAATGCAATGAATTCTAATTTCTTAGAATTATTTGCTTGCTTGTAAAGTAAATTAGAAATAATTTTTTATTTGGTTTAGTGTACCGTCTAGAGTCTAAAATTCTGCTAAAATTCATTGGTAAGATTACCTCTTCAGTACTTGTTACGATAATATAGAACTTGTAACATTGCCACCATTGAACAATAAGTACCCTTAGAACATTGCAAGTATTAAGAATTCACATTCATGTTATTTAAGCATTAGTAGCATAAATCAACAACTACTATGCATTTCCAGATAGGAACTAAGCCAAGGCTTTGATATTTAGCAACTCTTTTGAGTCGAGTGTAATGTATAATTTAACCTATTTTGACCAATTTAATCATAATACAAATAACATTTCATTAAAATAGCACCGTGAGGCAAAATATTAAAAATAGAAAAGAAGAAAAAATATGTTCTTATTATGCAGTAATATATTATAAATAAAGTTGATTTTGCTTCCCTATAGAAATTAGTTAATTAGTACTTATTTAGCTCATGAAATCAAACTTAAAATCTGATTGTTTGGTCTATATTTAATGGAAAAATATTAAATATGATATCCAATTTTTTTTGGAAGTGCGATAGTAACAAATAATTATCAATATTGTTAGAAGATAAAGTTATAGCTAAATGCGCTAGGTTTAAATATCTTGGATCTCTTGTACAAAAATGGGAATATGGATGAGGATTTAACTTTTAGAGTTAAGGCTAAGTGGTTAAATAGGTAAGTGTCATGGAACTATGATGCGATTGGAGAATCTCATGAAGGCTTAGAATTTGTTAGAGGAATTTTTTTTCACTGCTTTGCTTTTTAGACCACCGCTAATGACTATATGGTTACTATTTTTTTGTTGCTTTTAAAAATTGTGTTGATAAATAATTCTTATGAATAGACATGCTATAGTGTGGTAGCTATAAAAAGCTGATATTTGACTTTTTTAAATGAAAAATTGTAATACTCACAACAACTTTCATAAAATTTACTTTCTATACATGTGTTATAAACTTTTACAAATAGTAGTAGTCGCTATAAGTGGATCCTTAATTGAAAATTTTATAAAGTTATGATTAGGCCACTTATATTATATGGATCTGAGTATTGGATAATAAAAAATCATTGATAGGTAAATTAAGTGTATCAGAAATGAGAATACTTAGATGATATTGTGGTAAAATTAAAAATAGATAAATTATGGAATAATTATATCCTAGAGAAATTGAAATTATCATATATTGAATATAAAGTAATTAAAGATAGGCTTAGTTGGTATTTACATGTATAACAAGTGACATAATTTGCACCAATTTAGCAGTTGTATTAAATCATCGTCAAAGGATTAGAAAAAAAAGGTAAACCATGATAATATGGATATAAATTGTTTAAAAAGATTGGTGTAGAATAAGTTTAATGCCATAAAGATTTAAGTTCTAAATTTGAACCCTAATAGTTTAAATGAGGTTAATAATGATGATGTGAAGCTTTGAGTATGCAATTAGTTCTTTTCGATCCATTGGCCGTTAAACATTAATTGTACTTCATGCCATTCAGGGAAAATTGGCTTCTTTTTTAGTCGTTGAAGCTATAAAGTTGATCGAGGGAAAGTTGAAAGATGCATGAAAATTTTCATCATGAATGGTTTTTTTTAGTTGGGCTTAATCGCTTAAAGTGTTATCTATTTTAGGTACTTCTGATTACAACTTGGAAATAATGCACGCACACTTGGTGTAGGGTGGAAAAAAAAGAGCCAAACACAAAAAATCTATTGTATCACACTACTTCATGGCATATGTTCAACAAATATAATAATCTGTAAGGCTGGTCATTTCATTGAAATGGAGCATCATAATGGTTTACTTTTATATGCTACTGACATAAATAATTTGGAAGACTCCATTGATTTGTTGAAGGATTTGAATTTTCTGACTTATCTTCTGGGAGTCCTAGTGGTCATTTATGATTCTCATGTTAGATATAATTGGGGCCTAATTTGCTTTCTAGCTGAATGTTAGAAATTTTGGCAAGTCGAGTCGTTGTTTTTACTTTAAGTTTAATTTCAAGAGTGCATAATTAACATTTGACGTAATTCATTGTCAGACGACCTCAAGGAAATTAGGGTGCAATATCATTTTTTGTGGTGCCTCTCTTCACTCATTAAGTTATAGTGACTGTGGTATATATAAGCTCTACAGTGAGACATTTATGAGGGAAAAGTAGAGGTTATTATGAATGAAGGGTTGTGGCCAATCAAGTGGTTGACGAGTAATGGGTGAGATTGAGTGGAAGGTGGAGTTGTAGCATCACTCATTTTTGTGATAGCTTTATTTTGTTATTATCCGCTTGCAAGTTGATGATCTCTCTTGGAGCGTCAACATGGATTGAGTTGATGAAACCGTGAGATGGAAAGTGCTTGGGTTAAGATATTTGCCAATTGGTCTTAAGAAGCGATGTGGTGTGTTATCATGTCATGAGATTTAATGCACTCATGGATGAAGTGGTAATCTATTTCAATATATTTTGTGCGAACATGAAATAATTTATTATTTTCAAGTGCAAGAGCCAAGACATTATCCCAATGAAGCTTTGTTAGTTGTGTGATGGGGATGTAGAACTCTTATGGTAGATGAGGGAACAATATAATGTTCGTAGCAATTTTAGGCTTAGTGCAATATTCAGCCTCAGTTAAGGAATGGGCTACCTTGGATTGCTTTTTCACACATCAAGAGATGAGTATTTTTTTCAAAAATGCGCAATAGCCCTCGTGGACTTGTGGTCGACTATATCGCCTACCCAATCCAAAGTATGAGCAGGAGTTAAGTTATAGAGCGCCTTTGTGAATTGCTAAGACAAGAGTGATAGATCTTTGAATGTATTGGAGAAGACCCTTGAGCCACTGAAATTAAATTTTGAGGGGCTTTTGCATGTGTTGATGGCTCAGTTGATGGTGAATGAGTTGTTTCATCGATTTTGATAGTGAGATATTGGAAATAGTTGACTAGGTGTTTGTAGAGTTCTGGGTTGTTCGACTTGGCTGCTGGATTTGTGTTGAGGAAGTCTTTTACAATGACTAGCTCTATGTAGCAATGCTGAAGCATATTGTAATTGACTTAGATGCATCCCAATTGATCTATTGGTTATTTGAATGCTGAGGAGGTGAGAAACTTCTTCCATGTTTCGCACTTGGAATTGTCATTGGAGAGATTGTAGCAATTGGTTTACAGATTTTGGATCATTATTGGCGAGCAGGATATAGATTTAGGTGTTGCCAAAAGTATAGGTCAAGAGGGATTGGTCAACTGTGTTGGATTTGAAGCAGAGCTATTCACGATGGTTCTTTAGTGGCAAAACATTATCTTGGAGCTATTTTGAGGCTATAAGAGCCTTTTGTAGGTGGTAAGCATTATGTGGATGGTTAAAATTAACAAAGCTTTATGGTTAAGTCAAAAACACCTTCTCATTAAGCTTTCCATGTCGAAAGGCACTGAAGACATCCAATTGTGTGTTGAGCCATGAGTTGTGAATAACAACCATGAGGAAGATGCATATGGTGGGAATTTTTACTCTACGACTGAATGTGTTGGTGTAGCCAATGCTATGTTCTTATCTATAACCTTGTGCCTCAAGTACTGCCTTTTGTCTTTCAATGGTACTGTCAAAATGGAGCTTGATTTTGTAGGTCCATTTGTTTCTTGTAACTTTTTGTTGAGGGGATGGTGGAATAAGGGTTCATGTTATTTGAGCTTAAAGAGCTAAAAATTCATCTTACTTAGCCTTGCACTATTTTTCATCCTTGAAAGTTGATGAGTAGCATGAGGGGTCTTGCATTTAAGTAATAGAGTGAGCTTGATCGAGGATTCATTTTGGTTTCAAGCTGTTGGTTTGGATTCTGGTTATCAAGGGATGGTCAGTTGGGTGATGAATACC